AATATTGCATCTATTATCCCGGTTCTGTTCGTCACATTTACCATCGGTAAGAAATTTCATCATTGACGGTTGACCAATATCTTTTTTAGGTAAGTCTGTGAAATAAATATATATATATATCTTTTAAGTAATGTAAAAAAAGAATAAGTCTATTTTGATAAATATAACATAGCTGCGAGGAAAAAAGGGAATTAAAAGAATTCATAAAACTTACTTTCTTTCTGTTTCACATCAGATGCTTCATTTTTCTTATTAACATTTTTCCTCTTTCCTTTACCTTTTAGATTTGGCGTTTTTGGTAGTACTGTAATATGTATCTTATGACATTCAGGAGTAAATTGATCTGGTATCATTCTAGGATTATTATCGTATAAAGAGGAGAATATATTGCTTGTGTTCAATATTTTATTGTTTAGGGAGTCCCTCCTGGAAAGGGTAGACTTCAAATTCTGCAAAGTATGTATTTCCATTAAAATGTATGTATAAAAAAATTAAAAAATTGTCAAGTCTTCAGTTACCTCGTGTTCTTTCCCATCTGTAACAAGAACAATTATATGACCATCTCGTTTGCGTCCTGTTCTGCCCATTCTTTGAACCAATCTTATCGGGGAATGCTGTGATACGTCAAAACATATTATCAGATCAACTTCCCCTACATCCAATCCTTCTTCACCTATATCACACATTATCGAAGAATTAATATATTTCAAGAAACACAGATAGAAATCATAAAGATTAAAATATGGCATGGTATAAGATGAATGTCACTACTTCTCACACACCTATACTTGTTGAAATCAGCACATTCACACGATTGCTCCGAAAATCTTCCAATGCTTTTATTTGTTGCTTCTGCTTCTGGCCAGCTTGGCCAACAAACATCTGTGGCCTAATTATCGGTTTTGATTGCAAAAGCAAAATATAGACCTCATTGACTATGTCTCTGTACTGAAGATTCATGGAGGAACATATTAATATTTCTGTATATGAATTAAGTACTTTTCTATATTATAATTTTCAAAGGTTAAATAAATAGCATATGTTATATATATATATATATATAGACGAGACAGTCTGAAAGGCTAATATACAAACTTCGACAAAAACTATAGCTCTTGTGTCCTCTCGATCGCTATTGTTGTTATTAAAATGATGTTCAAGCAACTCTTTCAATTTGTGAAATTTATTATGTCCAAATACGATATTCTCTGGCATCTGAAATAATTATTTCTATATATATTATCTATCTAATTTTTTTAGTTTATCATAAAGATAGTTTTGCAAACCTCAGATACATCCCCATTGGGAAACAATTCTGGAAACGGCCCGAGATAAACTTCTATGTCACGTAATAAATCTCGTAATTGATCTTCACTATGCATCCAAAACTTATCAGAATGAGCTAAAAATAAAATTTTCTTAAAAAAAAAATGTGCTTACATAGATGAATATCTCAACAAATCATAGCGTCTTTTATAAAATTAACTATAATTGTTTATAAATTACAAGTGCACGTACTTTCATAAAATTTGCGGAAGGCACGCAATCCATGCCTGATCATAAGTTCATAAGCGTGATACATAGTTAACAACATATTCAATATCTTCATAACTTGCCCATAATTTCCAGATTTGTCCGTCTTCGTCTTAAATTCTTTCAACAAATAAAATACCTGAACAAAAGCAGTAAACATTAAAAACTATGTATCAGTAAATCGTAAAACATTTATAGATAGAATTTAATTACCCTTCCTTTAGATATGTTTGCAGTATGACCTCGCAATACGTTACATTGTATAAGAAACTTAACGTGGCGATCCATGATAGTAATATATCTTTCTTTAAATGCAGCTAATTCGTCACTAAGAGGCACCAAAATAATATCTACTTTCCTCTTATTAACATATGGTATTATATCAATGGAGTTCTCATCTCTCAATTCCAAATGGGAAATGTGTAAATTCTGTATTACCTATATGCAATAGAATATTAAATAAAATATACCTGCTCTCTTTTTTTAAATCAATTTCCAATGAAATTAAATATCTACATATAGCACTGAGTTTACTTACTTCATGAACATTATCTAATTTATTTCCAGGCGTAGCAGAAAGCGCTAATATCCTAAAGTACTGATTCTGCGTGGATAATATCTTGATACACTAAAAGTTACAAATCTAATTGGTTTGTGATAATAATAATGCATAATTATATATATTCTTTACGTTTTTTTTTTACCTCACAATACGAATGTTTGCCCAGAGCCTTATGAGCTTCATCTATGACGACACACTTGATCAAATGACTCGGTATGATCGATCTGTCAAGATCATTATGAAATACTTGAGGAGTGGCAAATATTATCCTCTTCTTGCGCCAGGCTACTTCACGTTTCTTCTGACTTACCGCACCTACAAATTAAGTGACATATATTTATTAGATTTGATAACACACGTGCTCCGAGGTATAAAATTACTATTAAACATAGACGTTAAAACCTGTCAATTCTATCATATCAACGCTTGGAATCCCCATTATTTCGTAGCACGCGTCGATCTGCTGAGCGACCAGAGGTTTCGTTGGTGCCAAAAATATAATTTTTCCATACGGATACCACCTCCAGAAATTGTACATCACAACGGCGGCGATGAAGGTCTTTCCCAAACCTGCCGTAAAATTGAAGACGAAAGTATAATTTTATATTTGACTGATTGTGCGATTAGCGAGTAATATATTTCTTCCTTACCGGTGGGTAAACAGACCAGGGTATTGCGATATAATGCAGATTGAACTATGTTATACTGGTACTGGCGGACCGGATAATTTTCCGGATATATCCAGGTGTTTCCAGCTGAGAGATCGAATCCCTTGGTCTCCGACTGACGCGAAACAGTATTCTGCGACTCCATCCTCGCGGGATCTCGTTCGATCTACGCACTCCGAACCCGGCAGATCGGTAGAGATCACTTTTCAACATAATCGACATTAATTTAAAGGAATAAACGTCTATCCGAGAGAAACGGAGCACGACATGACAACGATCATATGAGTACTCCGTAGACTCGTGATTCACGTGGGCACCTTTACGACGTGCTCGTTACGACGCACGTGGAAGTTCTTCTTGAAAATAGAGTACTGCATAATCTTAAAACATATCTTTCACAATCTCGACACACGCATCCCCCGTGAGAGAAAAAAACAATGTAAACAATGTAAACTTGTATCAATTGTCACGTGTGGAGTCGATGTTTTGTTCGAATATAAACTGCGCGTCGGCGTTGAACCCGTGGTTGGAGCAGACGACGATCATGAAGTATGAAAGTCCATAGGGCGGTTCATCCAGATAGGAGAAAGGATCCTTGTCTCTGTCCAGATATCATCCAGCCAGTTCAAGATGGCCGCGTTCAGCAGACACAACTGTTGAGTGTCGTCTTATCAACACTCTGCGTTGATTGGTTGGTTCTAAAAGTAAGAGCCAATCACGTTCGACTGCTACTGAGCGGTTTGGTCTGCTGAACGCGACCGATCAGATTTAAGCTGGATTCAGACAGGACGCGTCAAGCAGCGAGCAGCAACCCAATCAGCGAGGTGATATCAGCAGTGGCGTAGAAAATATCGCTTCGCTGATTGGTTGCTACTCGCTGCTTGACGCATGACGCGTCCTGTCTGAATCCAGCTTAATGCGGGGTCTACAATGCGAGTCGTGGGTCGTGAGTCGTAGGAAATGGACCAATCACAATCGTATTTGAAGAGAATAATCGACTGTGATTGGTCTAATTCTTGCGACTCGCATTGTAGACCCCGCATCACTTTTCAACTAGCAGTTGCCATCGTTTGCGTTGTAGAACCATGGCTACACCTGTCTTCATCATGACATTCATGACTGCATTTTGTCGATTGTTACGCCACTGCACATCATAAAGGTGTAAGCAAATTGTCATCTTTTATGAATGATGTAGGGCTCGTGTAGGCCTTTCGTACCACGTGGTTTCGTGCCGGTTTCAATAAATTAGTGCTCAGTTGCGTGGGCACGCTGCCAACAACGGTGCAAAATGGCAAAGCTGTTGACGGACCGAATTTTAGAGCATCTGGGTGCACGTGGCGAAACGAACTTGTTGGATTTGGCGGACGAATTTCAGGAGGATCATCAAAAGATCGTGGGCGCGGCCAAGAGTCTTGAGACAGTCGATGGCGTGAGTTTGTTTCAACAATGGCAATCCTTATGTCGATCGCTACCCGCCGTCTAAACTATACATTTTCAATTTGTTTTTGCACTCGCGGTTGAATTAACGCGTGACGCGCTAATCAACTGTATTCGCTGAAATATTTCCTTACCCCGGAAACGTTACTCCGGTTTAGTTAGAATTAACTTCTAACGTTCAATTTTATATACCTGCTTACAGTTAATTGTGGTAAAACCGATTTCCAAGAAGAAATGGGAGCTTACCGACGAAGGGAGGCACATAATAGAACACGGCAGTCACGAAGCGGTCGTTTACAATGCCGTTCCTGACGAAGGGATACCCCAGGCAAAGCTCGTCAAGTCTAGCCCTTATGCCAAAGTAGGTTTCTCTAAGGCGATGGTCACTGGATGGATCGAGCTCGACAAGAGCGGAGACGTTCCTATCGTACGAAAGAAGGTACCGTCCATTGTAGACGTCGTACAGACACATCTGAAGAATCTCTCAAGTGTCCCGGAAAATATTAAAGCGGAATACAAGAAGAGGAAGCTTTTGCAGGAGGTGTAAGTCTGACTGAAACAAGTAAAGGACAATTGTAAAATTATGTATCTTTTTCTTATTCTGCTTTCAATCTGTCTTTTTGTCACGACAGGGTGATTAAGAGTATGCGTCTTGAAAAGGGACCAAATTTTTCTACGAAGGTAGAAAAGTTAGAGGCAGATTTGACGTCAGATTTATTGGTAAATGGCACTTGGAAAGACAAAAAATTCAAACCGTATAATTTTGAGGCTCTAGGTGCGTCACTTCCAATTGGACATTTACATCCGTTGTTAAAAGTTCGTCATGAATTCAGGAAAATCTTTCTGGAAATGGGGTAAGCAACATCAATCTTCCGTTAGGATTTGTATAAAAAAAATCTAGATTTTATACTGTGTACCTATTATGTAGAATTATTAATTGTCTTATCACAAAAAGTACTTTATTTTAGATTTACAGAAATGGAGACGAATAATTACGTAGAAAATTCTTTCTGGAATTTTGACGCTCTCTTCCAGCCGCAACAGCATCCCGCTCGTGATGCACACGACACCTTTTTCATCTCTGGTACCTTATCACAGACTGTCGTATGAAACAATGCTCAAAAGACACGGATAAAACTTAGTTTTGTCTTTTAGAACCGCGTATTAGCACAAAATTTCCCATGGAATATCTCGAAAGAGTGAAGACTGTTCATAGTAAAGGAGCTTATGGATCTCAAGGTTACAGATACGATTGGAAGTTGGAAGAGGCTCAGAAAAATTTGCTACGCACTCATACAACGTCCAACAGCGCACGGATGTTGTATAAACTCATGGAAAAGGTATGTGGTTGTAGGAGAGGTACGCAAGTTGCTCTTCCAAGGACGATGAGGCATAAATAACAAAAATTTTGCAATAAATTTAATTATTTAATTAAGATGCTTATATATATTATAAGCATCTAAAATTACATCAATTTTAGAATGATCAGAATCCTTGGTAGACACATGGTGACGATTTGTCACGACGATTATAATCGTTACCACGATTATAATCATTGCCAGTATAGTCGATTAAAAATTCTTAATTGGGTTAATTATTGACTGGCGACGTAAATGTTATATTATTCGGTTTAAATAAAAAAATGTCTTTCAGGGAGAGTTTAAGCCGGTCAAGTACTTCAGTATTGATAGAGTATTCCGCAATGAAACTCTGGATGCGACACATCTTGCCGAATTTCATCAGGTTGAAGGTGTCATCGCTGATTACAACCTTACTTTGGGCAATCTTATCGGTACTTTATACGAATTCTTCAGTAAACTTGGCATCACTCAGCTTCAATTCAAACCTGCGTACAATCCGTACACTGAGCCGAGTATGGAAATATTCTGTTTTCACAACGGGCTGGAGAAATGGATAGAAATCGGCAATAGCGGCATGTTTAGGCCCGAAATGATATTGCCAATGAACCTACCCCCTGATGTAAATGTCATTGCATGGGGTTTATCATTAGAAAGGTACATCGTTAGAAAATAAATATGATGCCGTATATTTAATACAAAAACGTAACGCACTTTATTGTTAATTTAGGCCAACAATGATTAAATATGGCTTGAACAATATACGCGATCTTGTTGGACCAAAAGTGGACATGGAAATGGTTCATAACAATCCTCTGTGTCGTTTAGAGAAGTAAATATTATTCTAAGCATTATTAAGGTATTTATGTCAGAGTATATTTTTTGGAAATAAAATTAGGTAAAACATTTATAAGTCAAGTAATTGTGAAAAATACAAAGTCCAAAGTTGAAAACTAATATTCTGATCATTAAGTTTATTGTTTTTATTTGCAGAACTAGCCGAATGACTCGTTTACAATGGAAAACGCGTCAGCAAGAAGAAAAATCAGTTAAAACACAGTCGAATCAGGAAACGAAGATCAAGCAGGTGGCGGAACATCCTTCAGAAAAGCCAAAATTTGTTAGGCAGCAACTTGTTATTTTTTGCGATCCACAGTATCCAATTTCTTTCATCTTATCTTTCATACGAGTCGTAGCACCGTACTTTCGTGTTTCTCTGTCAACGCACGTTCATTCTACGGTGACAAACTTCCCCAAGAAGCTTGCTGGCTTTGGCTCGCTTTATTTCAGCAAGGATGCAAACGTGGATATATCTTTCACTGTGATTTGGAAGCCTATTGGGCTTGATCCCATTATGGTGTTGCCAGGAATGCATAAAATTCTGGGGATGGTAAATATAGCACGGTATTTAAATCGTTTAGTTGAGCAGGTTGACACAAACGTATTGAAGTATGAAACGAACGGCCCACTTTACGCAAGTAAAATAGATTTTTATTTAGATAAAATACATTATGCTTTACATGACAGCGATAGAGTGCTGCCAATGCATATACACAAGACATCTTGTTACATAATGGGAAAGGATATCTCGATAATCGATCTTATCCTTGAAGATATTGACAAGTGTCAGATAAGAGAGAAAATGTAATTTATTAAATTATTTATTTTGATAAATGAAATAAACTTGATTATGCCTAAAAAGGGACTTACACATTTTTTTTACATATGTGTATATATTATATTATAAATCTCTTTACAGTTCTTTAGTAATATAGATTGCAAGATGAAAAAAAGTAAATGAACTCGTGATGTACATATGTACAGTGCGTTTGACTAAAGTGTATGTAAAAATTATATGATATGATGAGCTATATATAATTTTATATAATTTAAAATAAATAACAGCTGTATGTTACATATGATTTAATATAATTTAATATTATGTACAATGGTTATATATAATAATTTTATGATTAGCGAACTGCCGTGGTCGCCGCGCGTGACGCGCGTCTAGTAATTTAGCTCGCGCGTAATCGAGGAGCATCTCGCGGCGGCAGCGGATTCGCCCGCGAGTTTATGCCGCGATCGCACGGAAACGTCGCGCGGTCGTCGCGTGTCCCGTACTTGAAATCCGTGGCGAGAGGGTCGAGAGTGTGACGCGCAACGTGAGGATCGGCCTGTCGCGTGTCGCGCGTGTGTGTATGCGTGTGCGCGCCGTATCGCGTAAAGGGGGAAAGGAAGAGGAAGAAGAGAGGAAAAAGGGGAGAAAAAGGGAGCGCGCGCGAGCGTGTGTGTAGAGGATCGGGTACGCGCGAACAATTGCGTGCAATTGCGCGTCGACGGTATCGCAACACGCCGCGTTCCGCGAGCGAACGTGTGTGTGAAGCGCGAAACGTTCGCGGAGAGGAGGTTGTGTTTGACGGCTCGCGCGCGCGTGCGCGTGTACGTGTGCGTGCGTGGTGTGTGCGCGCGCGTGTGTACAACGTATGTACGCGACGCAGCCGACCTAGCTCGTTCTCTCTCGGTGCGCAATAATATACGTACACACACGTTACATATATATATATACATACATCGGTGAAAGAGCGAGAGCGCGAATTCTCGCGCAACGACTCGTGCGACGACACGTCGAGCGAGACGAGTGACCGTGCCGCGACGACGAGGAGGTCGTGAACTCGCTCCGAGCGAGCGAGCGAACGAACGTGAGAGCGAGAAAAAGAGAGACATCGTTCGAGAAACATCGACGGCGAATACGGCGATCGAGCTCAGGCCCGTCAGGGCTCTAGTGTGGCGTGCGCGGACCCCGTCCGTTCCGCCAAGGTTAAACGAGACGAGAGACGACACCGTCGTCGTGCGGGATGCCTCGCTAAAATGGCGCTGATCGGCACCGTCGTCGGCCGATAAAGGGAAAAAAAACAGCAGCAAAAGGAAGAGAAGGAAACAGAATTTAAAAAAAAAAGGAGGGAGACGACTGTGAAGACGATTCGCGGCCGCGCTCGTTCGCGGTTCTGTTTTGACACCGTCGTGCCGCGAGCGCGAGCGCACGGGGCATTATCGGCCCTCCGTTCGGCGCACCTCCCCGTCCCCCGGTCCTCCCCTGACTCTGTCTCTGTCTCTCGCGGTGCGTGCGTCCGTCCGTCTCCCACCGTTCCCCTCTCCTTATCACCCGTTTTCTCGTCTCCTCGTTCCGCTCGCGCGTTCTCGCCGTCACTGTCGCGTAGCGTTAGCCGCGGCCGACTATCAGCGTGCCGACGACCACGAGAGGAGGTCCGCCGAGGTCTGCGCGTTGATGGACGGACAATCTGGCGAGAATCGCGGACGCTGTAGTAACATCAGCATCAGCAAGTGATCTTCTCGGGTTCACGGGTTCGACGCGAGCGCGATGCCCGTGCCGCATCGCCACGCTCCTGACGTGAAGAAGCGCATCGGACGGAAGAACTCGGGCAGTTCGGGCACATCGACGGAGGAGGCTACCAGTGGCGGCAGCGCTACGTTATCGCGGAAAGAAGTTGGGTGCACGGAAGTACGACGGCTCATCGCCAGGTGAGAGAGAGGGAGAAAGACAAAGAGAGAAAGAGAGAGATAGTGAGAGGGGAGAGAAGGAGACACGTCGCTCTCCTTCCCCCTTTTCTCGTCAGCGAGCGCGTTTCTCTTTCCTTCGGTCTTATTTTTTTTTTCCTTCCTTTTCGGGTTTCCTTTCCTCGATCGCTTTCTTCCTCTCTTCGAGGAAAGACCTCTTTTTCCCCTTGTCTAACCGTCGCCGCGTTCGAAACCGTGGGCATCACACACACGCCTCTTTTCACCTTCAAACGTTTATTTACGAGGGCGCACGGGTCTCTCCGGTGCGCGCTGGCACCGCTGGCAGTGTGGCCGATCGCCGCCAGGGTGTTGTCACTCGATCTGCGTGGTGTCGTGGTGTGTTGCGTGCGTGTGCTCCCCCCGAGTTTGCTCACCATTGTCCCTGCGCCGCGGCGGAATAGGTTAGAATACGCGCCCCCGTGCCGCTGATGACTGTGCAGATTAAAGCGTGATCTCCCGTGTCTCTTGCGTCGAAAATCCGCGCGATCCGCGTGGATTCGCCTCCTCGCGTCTCGCGCGCGCGCGCGCGCACGACCGACTGATCGCACGGGCAGGAAGCGAAGGAACGTCCGGCCCGAGGGATGACCGACGCGTGGCACAAAGGGTAGGACGACCCAGATAGTGCGGGATCGAGCGTTTGAAGAAGGAAGAGAGAACGGGAAGAAAAACCGAGTTGCTCCGTATTGCGATACGTTTCGTAACGTTGAGTCATTTGTTGTGCCGATCGTGTACAGCGATTCTCTGTTCGCCGAAACGCGATTTCGTCGTAGTCCAATTTGCTCTCTTTCTCTCTCTCTCTGTTTCTCTCTAGTTGTCCGATCTCGTACACGTAAACACGTGTATCTCTAATTATTGCTGTACAATATACACACGATCATTGCGAAGGTATATAAACGTTTGAGATTACGAGAAGAGAAGAAACGTGGTCTTGGAAATTGTTCCAGACTCTTCTCTTCCAGAAGAGTCTCGTTTGAACTCTTCCAACTGTGCATATGGTTTAGAAAATCGCAAACACATTAGGACTTCTCTATACCTGTACACATCAATCTTTGTATGTTATTTGTTGTCATAATTGTGTAATTCTTTTTCGTATAGGTATTCTACATAAATTCTTTTGGAGCCGGTCTACAACGGATGTCGTAAGTCGTGAGTCGTAAGAAATTAACCAATCGCTAGTTGATTAGTCAGTCTCCTCAAATTAGACTATGATTGGTAAATTTCTTACGACTTACGACAGTTACGACATCCATTGTAGGCCGGCCCTTATGGCCTGATTTATGCACGAGTTGTAGAGATCAGTTACGCTATCGATTCTCGAGATCCATGCATTCTCGTAAATGATAGCGAATTCGGACGCTTGCACTAGTGTACACTGAGTGCGCACTAAGGCTTGTTTATAATCTAATTTTTATATTTAAAGTCGCTTAAATACACATTTAAAAACTTTTTAGTCAATAAAACAATCTGTAATATCTATATGGATGCTGTACAAATCATTTTACAGTAACTAATAAGTATAATTTAAGGTGATCTGTAAACAATTGATTAAGAACAAGTCTTAGTGCGCACTTAGTGTGCACTAGTGCAAGTGTCCGAAATCGCTATGAGTTACATGTTGATAAAAATGTACGTGTGTCTTTAGAAACTTGCTTCTGATTATGTAATTTTAATACTTCTCTTATATACAGAAGAAAAATCTTGCTTTCTAGAAGTTTATCGAATATCATAGCCCATTCTACAATAGCCGTAAAAGTATGTGCAGTAAGACGTGAGCAATAAGCTATTGACCAACCGCAGTCAATTATTCTTGAATTGTAAAAATCCCATTAGTCAATAGCTTACTGCTTACGTCTTAACGCATACTTTTACGGCTATTGTAAAATGGGCTTATTGAATGTTTTGTTCATTGATATTTGTTATAGTTAGTAAATAGATTGCATTAATGAACATTTTACAATGCGCTTATATAAAATGATTTAGCGATGCATAGTAACTTGTTAACTTGGAATTTTTCTATCTTATAATAATGAGCCATTGTGATATGATATCTGTGGAATGTGACAATCTTACTGCAGTAGTATGACTAACCGCATTGCTTTTATCGTATTTTTCTAATAACGAAGGAATAAAAAATAACTAAAGTTGTATTCTTTATATTTTTCTGTGTTAATTATCAATGATGCAAGGATTGATGGTGTTACTTTTTATCATATAAAGGACTCGATATTTTACTTACTATTATATATATTTATTACTAAATTAATTTTAAGTAATTGTCACTATAGAAACTTATAATGGGATATTTGTGCTTTTATTCTAGATATTAAATTTGGAAAGGATTCGTTAACACATCAAAATGAAAATCGATCGCAGTAGATTGAAAAAATGCACTTCCGAAGTGGTAAGTATTATGCACAGATTTTGTTTGAATAAACTTTTAACCGTTTTCACTTAGATTTGCGTGATAACATGTTAATTTATTTTGATTAATATATACATTACATGAATTTTAACTCTCTTTGGATAGAGAGCATAATTTCATAGCTTTTTTCTATGTATACACATATAATTATACGTACAATATATAAACCATACATGTGTATACAACACGTAAATAGATTGTAAACAATATAAATTTCGATATAAATTTAGTTTGTAAACTAATCTTGATTGCACATTGTTTCTTGGAATACAAAAGCTTGTTATACAAACACATAATGTAACACGTACACACGCGCCAACCTTTATTTCGAATATTGTATCAAAACTAATTATGTGTAATGTGTGTGTTTAGCCGGCAGAATGTCAGGCACTCATAAGCAAACTACGCTCTTGCTCGCATGCAGAGCTACTGGAAGAACTAAAGCAGATAGATGCGTGGACATTCGGAAAGTGCGAATTGTTTCATTGGATTGATGTCTTAGATCTCAGTGACAGTATTTTAGAAGAAGCTGCAGCAAAAAGTCCAGATAATCCATGGGAATTAGCATGTGATCTTCCTCAAAATCGAGAGGTTTGTTTAATAAGTTTTTATCTGTATTAGCGTCAATCGATTAAAATATGTATTACTTGTAAATATTACTTCTTGTAATGGTTTTACATTAAAACCCAGCTGATTAATT